ACACACACACACACACACACACACACACACACACACACACACACACACACACACACACACACACCTTTGAGCGAGGCAAACACATTTTTACACTCCACTCCTTATTCAGACAGTTTTCTCACTCATTCTCCATTTAATGTATAATTTTCCTGCATCTAAAACTCATGTCTGATCCCACAGAGGACAATCTGAGGAGAATCTGAGGAGAATCTGAGGAGAATCTCACACTCTGGACACATTTAAATCTGTAAAACAGATTTAAATGGAGGCGTGTCTGGGGAGGAGCCTCAGGTGTATCAGTTCATTAGGATGTATAAAGGAAAGGTGTGCAGGAACCTGCGTACACACAGTTTTATACATCTGAGTTTTTTGGTGCGGTGCACTTTTCTAAATTTGTCCGTACGTTAACTGTTAGTGTGAAAGCTGCACAATCCTTTAAACACGAGGCCCCTGGAGTTCAGGAGGTGAACGTAGACAAACAGATCAGGCTTACCAGGCAGAAGTAATGGACCGACAGGTTGTGCTCCTTGAGTTGGAACTTCTCCCCAAATATGGCCGGATCATCGTCACTAAACCTGCACAGAACACACGCTGACACAGAGAACACACGTTATTATAACCCCGCCTTCTTCTCATTAGTCTTTATTCATCAACGGAGTCTAAAATCTCAKTTCAGCTCCTCAGGTTTGACTTTTCTCAGCTGGCAGCAACAAGTAAACATCAACAAATAACGTTACTCACTGTCGTTGTGAATGGGCAGAGCAGCAACACGAGACTTCTTCCTCCTCATGTTGGCATCAAACCTGTCAATCAAACCTGTTGGACAACAACGATCACATTGTTCTCAGAAAGAATAAAACATCAGCACACACTGATTTGATCTCCTGCTCCACAGATTTGTTTCTAACAATTAAAACTCTCATGATTTTAAAAGCAAAACAGAAATAAATCAGATTTTTACTGTTGAAAAGTCAGAGATGAACCATTTGTTAGTTTTAGTTTTCATGTAATCAAACTCTGCAGATGTTTTTGTTTCTTTAGTAAATTCATTTAAAATACTTAATTTATTACTGATGCTAATTAAATGTTGAATAAATCAAATGATTATGATCACAGTTATCTGATTCCAAACCTTCATACAAGCCGGAGGCAGAGWGGCCGAACGTTTCCACCAGGAGTTTAGAAAACATTACAAACTGGACACTTTGCATGAAAACTGTAGGAGTTTATGGGAATTATCTGTCTACTGGAGGCCATTCAAACAAACTGTGTGACAGGGCTTTACAAGTGCTGGTCTGCGGGACACTTTTGGTCAAAAGGTGAGCTCAGTCCAGTTTGTTTAAAAATAAATCCTAGATTTAAATCCTAAATTAAATTTACACAGTAACAGCTTAAAGCTGGCTCTCTAATCTGTTCCTGTAAAACTTCTGCATTATGTCCAAATAAAACAAGATTATAAACATGTTCTTCTGTCACAAACGAGTTTGACCCAAACTTTATTAATTACTTATGTAGAGCTTTGTACAAAATATAAATGTTGCATTATGTTTACGGTTTTCGTATAGAAATAAAAACATAAATAAATTATATTTAAAACTTCTGAAATGTCTAAATTTGTGAGCGGATCATTTCAAATCATTCATTCACTCATTCATTCCTTTTATTTATCATGTAAATGRCACTGCATATAATACACAATAACATTAACATAAATGGATAACACAATAAAACATAAAGCTTATTAACATTGTGGTCCAACACACAGTCACCACACAAAATCACTTACACACAAATAACACCAGTTAAAAAAAAAGACAAGATAAAATAAAATACTAATCATCTGATTCTTGCCTGACTAGCCTTTGGAATAAGAACTGTTTAAGTCGACACTGGGGGGCTTACATGCAGTCCCACAACAATGACCCCAGTTTAATGAAAAGTGGACTTGCCATAGATTTTAATAGCTGAAAATCTCGGTAAATGTTTAAGATTTAGGTTGTCCCTTGTTTGAAAAAAAACGTGAAAATTTTCCTAACTTAAAAAAACTTCTGAAATCTTGCAAAATTAAAGTATAAAACAAACTCAGAGTTTATGTGTTCGAAGTACAAACGACGACCACTGACGTGCATTTCAAACGTCGTAAGATACAAAATAATAAMGATAACTGGATAAAAAGTCAAAAAAAAGAGGAGAAAGAGTTTGTCTGTAAACCTACTTTACATCTGAAGAAGCAGAATGGTAGTTTCTTTTCATATTATCGTCCTCTTTTCATGAACTCATCCTCTGTTTACGTCCAACGCCATTAACGTTTAAATTTCCCTCTTTCAAAACGAAAGAGCTTCATTTCCGCTTCCGGTTTCCCTTCGTTTCTTTTAAAA